CCCGGGGAGCCGGCCTGGCCCGCCTGGCGTACATGACCCCCGGCCCGCGGGGCCCTTTCGGCGGCCAGGGCTGCCGGGCGCTGTCCTCGGGCGGCAGCGAGTACAAGACACACTTCGCGGCCTCGGTGGCGGACCCCGAGAGGTTCTGGGGCAAAGCCGCGGAGCAGATCAGCTGGTACAAGCCCTGGACCAAAACTCTGGAGAACAGACACCCGCCTTCCACCAGCTGGTGAGTGATTCCTTCCCGACTCCATCAGTCTTGGGCGCCAAGGCTCGACTTCCCCTGCACCAGAACCTGGAGTTCTTTTGGGAAAGAAAACGAGACTGGATATGTGCTCAGACCTCTTAATTTGTGTTTAGATTAAGAGTCAGCTGTCTTTCCCCGACTTGAGGGATTTGGTTTACCTTTTATGAGCCCAACTTCTTATAGACCAAAGATTTACCTGTATGGCAGGGCTCTGCTTCGCACGGGGATGTTAAGCCGACTAAAGCAAGAGCCTGTCACCAGGGACAGCACAGTCTAGTGTGGAGACAGCCACTTAAACAAATGCAAGCGAACAATAAACTAGGGGAGTATTACTAAGTATCCACACACTGGGGAGGAAGAGGTTGAGGAAGGACTTCAATAAAATCACAGCTAGTAGGGTTTGGAAGGATGGATAGGTCCTCTCAAAGTCAACAAGATCCTAATTATTGAAGTCCAAGTCCAAGATCCTAACTGGTAACAGATTGAAAATTGACTATTAATGTGGTTGCCAATAATTGTGTTCATTGGAGAGATGGGAGAGGGTGAGGCTGGATTGGAAGGGTTTTATGTGTCACACCAAGTAGATCAGATTAGCTCTGTAGTCCTGTCCTGTATATGAAGGTGCACTATGGATTACCCCAGAAAGAACGCACATAAAGACAGGTGATGCTAGTAATCATGGTAGGAATAAAGTCTTTTTCTCCTGGAGTTGCAATTATAAGCAGTTATAAACATTGTTTTTATATTACAACAAACATTTGTAGAATAAATGCCAAACTTGCCAGAATGAGTCACACAGTCTAGAAGAACTCAAAAGCTGTGGCTGCTCTTCGGCCTATGTGCCTAGCAGCCGTTAAGAGTGTGGTTGCTTTTATCTGCCAGCCATTAGGGAGAGTTTCCTCTAAAAGTTTGTGAGACACTGCAATTGGGTTTCCCCTTACCATTTCCAAGTTGCCAGCAGAGAGATGGTAGAATGACATGGTCAGATTTACATTTGGCAGATGTCTCCTTGTTGAGCGTGGGGATGCTTGGAATGGAGAAGGGCATCTCGACCAGAGCCTGTTCTGTGTCACCACCATGCCCTGTCCTTTCCTGATTGTTTGGAGCTGTTGGCATGGTTTTTGCCTTTAGAATCTGAGCGAGCGCCTTTCTCCATCCAGTTCACTTTTTTTCAGTAGCGTTTGACTGATCCTCTTTTACGTTGCCAGCACTGACCTAAGCACTGGTATGCACTATCAAGTAATATATGGACTTATGTCCCTTGCTTTGGGGGACTCATGATGATTAAGAGCACGGTCTCTGGTGCCAGAATGCTGGGCTTGAGTTCTGGCTCTCATAGTTACTGGCTGTGTGTTCATAGATAAGCAAGTTACTTATTCTCTCTGTGCTTCAGTTTTCTCATAGATAAATGTGGGACTAATATGAAAATTAACTGAGTAAAGAGTTAAGACCAAGTCGTGAATGAAACAGACTCTATAAATGTTAGAGGAAGAATAGCTCTTTGCACTTTCACACCACAATTATTTTAGGAGAAAACCTTCTTACTGTTTCTCTGATCAAAACACAGAGATCGTTGCCTTTCCTAAGAGTGTATTCTCAAAGTTCTGTGTCCACATATCTGTCATAAAGTATGGTACTGAAATGCTTTATGTGACCGTCCTTCCCACAAAACTGTGTGCAGAGAACTGAATTAAGAAGTCATGGGGGTGTTCCAAGTAAAAACAAGTGAGGGCCAGACAGAAGGCAATGACAGTGGCAGTGGAAAGGAAGGGATAGATTTCTGGTGGGTTACTTGAGGTCGGTGAGGGCTCAAGGGAGTGCAGAGAATGCGGCAGTCAAAGTGTCCATCAAATAGACATTTAAGACCTGGAGATTTTCTCTCTAACTTGTTTTCTTAATCTCTAGTTGCTTGCCTAAATTTTCTAAAATTGTAGGTATAAAATATTTTTAATGAGAGTTTTTGCCAAAGGGCCTTTGTATATGTTTTTTAAAATTCAGTATATTGTAGATCACTGCCACTTGATAATGCTGTGTCTGAATTCTTCATCTTTGAACTCTTGGAATCATGTGGCCATCCCTGTTTTATAACAGCCTAAAAGATCAAAGCGAGTAAGAGATCTAAGTCTTTGAGTCTGTATTGCAGCAGTGTGATTCACTAAGAAATTTGATTGGCACAGCAGAGTTGGGGAGGCAAGTCGAGGTAGGAGACCATGTATCTAACCTAACACTTTACTCAATAAGTGGTTTTAATTTGAATCCGTTGCTGGATTGGGCACCTATTTGTAAATACTCCTCATTGGTTAACACTTTTCTACAAAGGTAAGCTCAAGGGCAGGGCAAATGTCTTTTTTTTTCCCCCCCTTTAGTCTTTATATTCCTAGATTCTAGGTCAGAGCTGATAAATGACACTTTTAAAAAGTGATAGATAATAGGCTACGTGGATTTAATTTTTGCCTCAGGATGTCTCTGGGAGGTGGCAGGTAGGTATGAGCACAATGTGATGTGAAGGAACTTGGCTCGCTTTCTTTGAAGTTGGATCTGAGGAAGAGAGATGTTGACAGCTAAGTCTTTAAGTAAAATGAGGAGGGGTTGCTCCAGCTAATTGTTCTCTGCCAGATGGAGCTGGCATACATGTAGTCAAGATCTCTGAGGCACTTTGGCTTCCCAGAGGCAAGAGGGATTCTCCTTCATTATAAGCTTGTCTATTTATTCTTCATGAAAGTAAACTGTCCTCCCAGTCTGCAGGCCTATCAGAAACACTAATACAAAAATAGTAATGCATATTAGCTTATACAATGGCATAAACTGCCCAACAGTACTTTGCATATGGAGTAATATGAGCATGAACTAGGAATCTTTAAGGGTGATATACTGAAGGGAGTTTCCACTGTAGTAAGTAGCCCTGGAAGGTACATTTCTAGGGCTGTAATCTCTGAGCTCTTTGAAGAACAAATCCCAGATCCATACAGGTGCCTTAGAAAACATGTAAGGATCCACCTTTCCTCACAGTTTCTTGGTTAATTCACATTGGTGACACCTAGCTTTGGGGGGAAGAAAGTCTCTGTTACAGAGACGTCAGCGGAACACCACGGTCTGAGGTGAAGCAATTAGAAGCCCTGGTCATTTCTCTAATCCTGCAACAGCAGAATGGATGTTAGAAGTTATTTTCTCCTAATGAATTAGACAAACTGCTGCCCATCCTGAATTTGAAATCCAGCTGCCACTCGCTGAAGAATTAGGAGATTCACTTTTGCATTATGCATTGTGGTGGACCCTTCTGTCTGGGTCATCAGTTTATCCCTTTCTCTGGAAGCATGGCAATCCTATTTTAGCTTATTTTTATTTAAACAACATTCAGTGATCAGATGCTCACATATTATTTGATTTAGAATTTAGCATATATTAACAGTGACTCTAAGCTAAAAAGGAAAAGCCTCTGACTAAATGCAGATTATTAGAAGGTGATTCCAGCTTGGTTAACATCTCTGTAATGGAAATCATGTAGGTTTTCTAACATGCAAGAGCTCAGTTTCTTACCAGCTATGAGGTAATGGTTGTTTAGTGCCTCCAAGTCTTAAAATGACTCATTAACGTTGAAAACATCAATCATTCACTCACTGTATGTATAGTGTGTAGTACAGAGAAAATAATGAAAGAGGTGGTGAA